TTAATCTCTCTTTGCTTAAATTAATAGTTTGAAAATATTGAAACATACATTTAAATCTTAAAATTGAGAAGAGCTACCAATAAAATTTGTTTCTATATATTATAATTTCCCCCCTATTTATTATCATAATCAACATAGGAAAAGTTAAATTGGTATAATGTTTATGTGGCATGTAATAAGAAATTATAAATACTCTAACCATAGGCCACATCTAAAGTTAGTACACGTGGTAGACAATAACAACTATATATAGTTTATAATTTATAATAAACTATATTGTATATGCATCATGAGAGGATATTTATTTATGTAACCATACCTTAGGTCAAACCTTCAAAGGTTGATAATGGATAGCAAGTTGGCAAGAAACAATATATATAATTTTTTTTTAATAAGTATTAAATATAATAATGTATTTCAAATAATAATATCAAGATTTTCAATAAAGTAATTATATATTTTAAAAATATTGCTAGTTGCAATATATACTCTTGTTATTAATTTCTACATTTTTGCACAAGTTGTTTTCTTAAATCCTATAAAATAGATTGATTTTTTTTTTTCTGGTTTGGTATTAATTTTGTTATGTCTTCTTTTCTTGTGTCCTTTTTTTTCTTGTTTGGTGTAGTCAAGGAGGAGTAAAAAACAATCTCAGTATTTTGTTATTATTTGGGTTGTGGTCATCTGGTTCATTTGGTTATACCGAAATTGTGTGGTCTTTAATCAATGTATTGTGGATCAATTGGAATTGTTTGACTTATTCGTCTACATTTTTGGAAGTAGATCTTTTCGCCTAGTATGAAATATCTTTTAGTCTTGTACACTGACATAATAATACTTGAATTTGTTTTGTTTAATGTGTTTTTTATGTATTTCGTGTTTTGTAATAACGTTTCACTGCTTTATATTGTACTCTGTTTTTGAATTTTGAATATCTCTTTTACCTAGTTTAATTGATTTTATTTGCTTATAAAAAAATTATATTTCAAGAAAATTACGAACGTTAAAGACAGAATATCTTACTCTGTCACAATCCTATTCTACCACTAATCTATTCAATATTTGAAACTTGAGTGTGATTAATGATGTAATGTTCTTAATGTATTATGAACTCATTTATTTAAATTTTATTAATTTGAACTCTAATAGAATAGTGAGACTATGTCTTTGTCAAATCAATAATTCGTGTATTTTTTAAAATAACATATAAGTTTTAGTACAAACAAACAGCTCAAATAATACGAAGAATATTCTGATTCAATGAATCTGAATCACAGGAGAAGTTTAATTAAACCCTATCATATCGTTATCAATCTGGAAAATAAAAATTATTACGATGCAGGAATATTGAACTCTTTTTAAAGTTTGACTGGAAATATATTAAAGATAAGAAATATTCAACATTTTTTCTCCCAAAAACTTTGAATATTAACTTCAAAGAAATTCTACACGGATTTTTGTCTCTCTCTGGTTTAATTTCCTTCTTTTCAGTTGATGCCTCGTGCTTTCCGTTTCTTTACTTTGCTTTGAACATAGCTAGGTTGAGTGGTGTTGCTGACATGAGTCTGTAATTCTTCTCGCCTCTTTGATCATTTTTCAATCTTCGGAACCTGTCACATGCAGTTAACAACATAAATATGTGTCTAGTAAAATAACCACTTCATACCAGGTGAAAATATACACTCATAAAAAGAAGAAAGATAAGAAAAACTTACAAATGAAGTCATGAAAACTTGAAAGAAAAAAAAAAAAAAAGGTATAAAGATCTGAAACAAAGGGTGTGAATAATAACACCTGCAACTCATGACTGTACTTATATCGAACCAAGGTTTTAAATTGAAATTATATAGTCGCAGTTGCTATTTTATGATCATTCATATAGTTAAAATACTAACAAATGTAACTGCAATTATCATGATGTGGAGGCCATGAAAACAAAAACCTTGATGTTGCAGTTGAAATTGTAATTCCAAACCATTTTTGAAAAAATACAGTATATAATTTATGAGGAGAGTATTTAGATAAGAAGGACAAATTCGGAGCTCCCTTCACTCCAATACAAAAAGATCAAGATAACCCCATCTCCAAATTCATGCAGACCCATGACTTTCACATATGCTTCCTTGTGTGAAGCCAAAGGTGACCATGAATTAGCAGCTAGGGTCTACCATCACCTCCTTCAGAACTGGAGTGCTGAGAGCTCCAACTTGGGTTTGTTCATACCCAAAATCCTAGTTTTTTTAACCAAAAAAGGACCACTCAAATACTTATGTTGTTGCTAAGAACTTGGAAGAGGATTGTGATGCTTGGAAACATGAATATTGGGTTTATATAGGCCAAGACCTAGGCTTAATGTGTAATCTGGACCATTGAATTTAAGGATTAAATATTTCAGTAGAGAATCTGTCAACAAGATCTTGATGTTTGAGGATTGGTGAAGCATTGCATTAAATTTAATATAAAGATTATTCTAGCTGATTGGGGTTCTTTTCATTTCAATCGTTTGATCAGGATCTACAGTTGATAGTGTGTAATGATGCATCATATTGGTGATGGTTGCTTGTGTGGGAATACAAACATATGATTGGCATATTTGGCATTAATTATTTTTACATATTTAGAATAATTCTGTTGCATAATTATACTTATGTTGACTTTCCTGTTCTTTATTATATCTTCTTGTTTATGTCAATTTACACTTATGACATCACAAAAGTAAAACATGGAATGAATAAAATATACATGTAGTATATGGTAAGTTATTTATAAAATGATAATAGCTCTCTTATCTATTCATTATGTGCAGCAAACATCGGAATTTCGAAAGAAAATGGATTCAAATAGGGAAGAACAAACTCTATTGATTGATAATGAGGTCAAAATGGATGAGGTTCTCATTGATCCCATGGCTCAAACTCAACAATCTCTGAGAAATTTGTAGAATCTATCAAACGGTATGAAAAATTGAATGAGAACACGAGATGATAATTTGAAGCAGAAAAGGGAAAAAATAGAGAGGATGATGCTAGTAGTTAAAGAAGTAAAGAAGATGGAAGATTTAACTGAAATACAAAAGGTTTGTGCTGCAAGTAGGATTACCAGTGATTACTACCTTTTCACCAGTCAAGTTCGAACTTTTTGTGCATGAACTTTTAGCACTACACATTTTACTTGTTTCTAGGTACTGTAAACTTTACTAGTTTGATCTTCTATGTTTTTCCATGTATGTGAAAATTTTTAGTTTTCATTATGTTTAAAAACTTTATGTGCCGTTTTCATCTGCTTAAAAACTTCATATGCTAGTTGGATGAAAGATAATTATCTGATCCTTGTTTTGTTTTTTTACAAGTTATTATTTTCATATATACTAGCAATCTCCGTACAAATTGAGGAGAGAGAAAGCTAGTGTTTGCAATCTAATAGAAAATTTGCTGATGTAAACAATGACTTGGTAACAAACAACATTTTTTATTCATTCTTTCCAAAGAAGATGTTTTTTATTCATACTAAGTTATTCACAACACAAAACCTAAATTCTCACAAATGGGATATTTTTCACTTGATTTTATTACAAATTTAACTTGTACATATTCTTTATTTCCTAAATTTAAGTCTAAGAGACACCCAATATAATCGCTTTTACATAATTACAATGTTATGTAGACAGAATTTAGTATGGACAAAACTATCATAACCTAGAAAAAAATCCAACCTCTTAAAATATAAATGATATTAAACCAGTCCACTAAGCATTAGAACAATTTTAGTAAATTTTAGTTCTACTATTTATAATTTATATTTCACTTATAGGTTTGATCCTGAATTCATCCCACACGTCAAATTTCAAAGACAATTGTGATTCCATTCTGGGTTGTATTATCAATATCTAATATCATTTTGAGAGAATAATATTCACACCCAAAAAAGACAATTATGTGAATGAACTTTAGCAGAAAACTCTCATAAGTTTCTTTCATGTAAGTCTTGGAGAAAAAATTTCTCTCTCTGAGCAGATTCATCAAGGATAGCTGTAAGGCATAATTTGATAGATTATATTCACCCTCAAATTCTTTCTTTCAATACCTGCTCGGATGTTCCTTCGAAACAATGAAGTGCCCAGAAATGTTTGTCACGTCACTCGTGACAATATGTACAACATGAGGAATTGTTGAATTGCCACGTAGTAAAGCTTGGTAAGAGCAACAAAGGACAAGCTTTGTAAAATTATTTGATGAGGAGCAAATGCAGAAAATTGTGACAAAGAAGTGGTAAACAATACATCAAAGATAAGAAAGCATGATTGATGAGAGCAAAAGGCAGAAACATGGTTAAAGATAGAAGTTTAAGAATGTTGAAGAAGAACGGCATTGGAATCTGCCAGAAGCATTTGGGTGGTAGTTTCAGTGGTAACCACATAGTAGCAGTCAGAAGACATGGCACCCTCAAGAGATAGTCACAACTTCTTTCTGAAGATGGAATCCAGCACCATAAACATATAAGCACATGATGAGAGGAAGAGAAGACATCCAAAACATAGGTTGTGCAAAGGAGCCAAAAGCAGACATGTTAGTTAGAGCGTTATTAACTTCTTTAATTTTAATATGCATTTTTCAATGTGCATGCTGATATGACTAAATGGTCAAAGTATATTGGATGTTAGTATTAAGAAGTTTTACAATTAAAAATAAGTCAATACAAGTTTTATCTTTGATTTTCTACAAATGGGATTGTGATTCAATGTCATCAAATTGGGCTATATCTAGCAGAATTTAGGAAAATAAGGTTGATTCTACATATTCCATATCTAGCCCTTGGTAGGCACAGTGAGATCAAATATCGTTTACACATAATGAATACATACAACACTGATTTCAATCCAATCATGTAGCTAAAGATTCATGGTACAGGATGGCTACTAGAATTATATGAAAGATCCCACTGTAATACCCATTTCAACTGTGTCATATTCCCATTTTCACGTTATTAACTTCTCTAGTTGATCAAGAAGTGCTTTTGCTGGCTCTACAGCGAGATTTCTGTGCCTCTAATCTTGCTTCAAGGAGTTTTGCCATCAATGTGTTTTCCTTTACTCCCTCTGGCAATTTGGTAGAAGACTCAGACTTGTCAAAATCTGAAACAGAAAACTTAGATTTCCACAGTTTTCCAGGACTACCATTAGCTGTAACTGCAGAGTGGACACAGTAGTCTTCCTTGCAAATACTCTCAGGATATATCTTATCACCCTCTGATGACAAGGAACTGTTTCCAACCAAGATATCTGGCCTGTGACTTGAGTTCATTCTCAGGATCCAGGGTCTATCACTCTCTTGTGGAATATGTTTGGCCTCTTCATTTAGTAGAGCAGTGCTGTCTTCTCCAATTTCACTTGATTTCCTATGGACAAAAAACCTCTCAGTATCATATGATATGTTCCTGTCCATGTTTGTTTGCGGTCTTGAGCTGAGTTTGTGGAGTCCTTCACCATTAGCCCTTTTTGGCTCAAAAAAGTCAGTGTCAATGGAATCTTCCTGACCCATATTTTGAGGTGCACTGCCAGCCCCTTTTAGTGGGAAGGAATCCAATGAATGCTCACAAGGGTGAATTTCCTTGAGCTCCTTTGGGGAGGAGTAACCATATTTTTTCAAATCAACTGATCTTTTGGCGTGAAGGAATGTTTCAATATCAAAACCTAACTTGTCAACAATTGAACTTCTCTCTATGAGATCACTGTCAGATTGAGCCAGCTTCATCTGCATGCGCTCATCAAGCCAAGCTTCTGAAATGTGAAGTATTAGCCTATCAAGGCTATTATTATTCCCTTGAACCTGAACCTGACCCTTCTCAGAACTTCTCCTAAGGAAATGTACCTCTTGTTCATAATCTCGAATTCCTTTGGCAAACTCATCACAAAGATTCTCCAAAAGTAACCTGGCCTTTCTCTCTCTTTCGAGATTTCTGAAACAACCAGAGAAGGAAGACTTCACTTCAGAAAGTTCCCTAGCCAGCTTCCGATGCAGGTTTTCTGAATGCTGCCGTAACCTCCTTTCATCTTCTAGCTCTTCCTTGATAGATTGAATTGCAGCTTTAAATCTACCATGTTCTTTGTTCTTCCTAATAAGTTTGTCCACTGTCAGTTGCTTTATTAAGTTCTGCATTTCCTGCACATTCATTTGCTTATCTCGAGTCAACTCCTTTATCCGTGCCTGAGAGCGATCTAATTCAGTTTTTAAGGTCTTCACCACTGACATGTTTGATGCCTGCTGTTCTTCAAGGCTCCAAATACGGTTTAGCACCTTCAGTAATTCTGTGGACGTTTTAAGGTTGTAGCTTGACTCTCCAATCCTACGTTTGAAGTCTACCGAGCTTGTGGGGGTTACTGCACATGTATATGATCCCACCTGCTTTAAGCATATAGCATTACCATCATTTTTTATCATCTCCAAAGGATAAACAAAAAATAAATATTATCAGTTTGAGAGGCATTTCAATCATGCAGAATTAACCTCAATTAGTCCACAATACAGTATTGACATACAACTACAACCAGAATGTCTAAGTATCATTTTTCTGTTTCCTGCTTTCATACTACTAGATTTTAAAAATTTTGCTCTTAGGCAAAATGTTTCACACGATAATCATGAGAAATAATGTTCCTACAACCGAGATAACACCCCAGAATTAAGAAACAATGTTCCCTACGAAGAAAAAGCCAATGATGCAAACAGATGAGAAGCAAAATTGAATGAATTGAAAAGGGTAAAATCAATAGCCTTATAATTTAAAAAGTCATATCTATAGTAGCAATATATTAAAAGCTACAAAACTGCCAAACTCATATCATGCCAGTAATTAAATGTTTATTAGAACAATGAAAATATAGCATTGAACTGCTCAAGATTCAAATGGATAAAAATATGCTTACTTCCTCTGAGCTACTGTAACAAACAGGGAATACAGGCTGGAGAGCACGGCCATTTCTTTCTACTGATCTACAGTGTTGAACAAGTGATGCTGCGACATGAGATCTTGAGCTACTAGATGATGCGGGCTGCAATAAGGCACAGGGAGACTATCAGCACTTCAATGTGAAACATATTAAAATATCATGTAAAGGAAAAAGACACACTATACGGATACTTCTCCATAACAACAGCACCCAAAATGCTGACCAAGAAATTTTAACTTCAGAATTGAAAGAATAATTAAAAATCTCTATTTTCTCACTTAGTCAATTGCATGATCCCAGCTACTTACTATGCAACTAAAAGCAGTAAAGGTTCTTCTTAAACTAATTACTATATTGTAGTTTTGGTAACAGAACCCATGGGAACAATGTCAAATATAGGCGTGGAAGGTATCTCAGTAAAAGAAATTTCATTTATCGTATCTTAGCAGATTGAAGAATGTTTGAATGAAATTAGGTGGACGAAACCAACCCTCTTCATGAGAAGCTTCTAGTTAGTTTATGATATATCCTAGCTTCAGTTAGAATTTATATCTACGACAACAATTTTATGGGCAAAGATAGAAAAACAATTCACTTGCTTGAACATACACAAAGTCACAAATCAAACCCCTTACCAAATTTTAACGAAATTTCCCTTTCGAAGGCATAAGAAAAGGTACTTAACAAGATGATGGGGGGAAATTTAGTAAAGGAATACTTTAAAGAAAAAGTTAAGCACATATATGTGTGTAATGGAACTAAGTGGAACATATGGGACACCCCACCCACCAAATCAGATCTCAAGGGAGTAAAATTTTGTTCAACCACAAGAGGTGGTGAAGCTAACGCCAGCAATAAACAAAAGAAGACAAGGGTATAAATTCCTCAGGACACCACTTCTGAACTAGCACAAAGCAAATCACACATGGGAAACAAAAATAAAAACAACTTTCCAAACAAAAAAAAAATCAACTAGGTAGAGCTCAAAAGTGCAAAATAAGTAGTTAAATAGAAAAGAAAAGACAAATTTTCCCTTCTTTTTTGCAAGGAAAAAATGAACATTCACATAAACTGAGACAGAACCTGATCAGAACTAGAAGGGGTGTCCGGAGGCTCAGCCAATTGGTTGTTATTCACTTCAGAACCTGTGTCCTTAGGGTGGTGGAGGCGGCGACGGTTACGGCGGCGGCGGCGAAGGTTGGTGCCAAGCTTGTTCATTTTGACAGGTAGGGTGTGTTGTTGTTGGTGGGGCAGAACTTCCCAGAGGTTGGCACAGAGCTTTCTAGCAGAAAGTGTTGAACAAGTGGGAAAGTTGAGAAACTCTTGACCTTTGTCACTGCCATTTTGCAGAGATGGAAGCTCAAGTCTCCATGTGGGTGGTGGAGTACTAGGCCCTCCCTTTTTCCCCACCAACACCCCTTCCCTCAACTTTTCCACCATTAATCCACCCCTTTTGTCCTCTCCCTCCACACCTTTTTCTCTTCTCTCCATTACACAACCTCTCTCCAAAATGTTCAAGTCCCATAGCCCATTTCTCCTATTTTGTGATCTCTTTCTCTCTCTGCCTCCTCTCACAGTTTGATTACAGTGATTCTTCTTTTTTTTCTGGAGTTGACAAAGTATCTGTGTCTTCTCTTGCAGGTTTCATGAATTACCCGAGTTAAGTTTTCCCAAAATTTCAGCCACCTCAGCAGTTCTTTCCTTGTTGGGTCCACTGTCATTCAGTTCTTATCCCCAACTTCCTTGTTTTGGCTACCTTTGTCCCCTCTCTGTGAAATTGTTTATGTCATGTCTTTAATTTCTCTTTTTTTTAGAACAAGGACCAAAACAAATATCTTATTATAATTTATTCAATGTAATTATAATTATATATATATATATATATATATATATATATATATATATATATATATATATATATATATATATATATATATATGAAAAGCCAAAGAAGTAAGAAATACAGAGGTTAGGTAAAAATTTATTTCAATTGAGAAGAATTATTAATTGAATATTCTAAGGTACATGAAAAATTGCAAACTTGGTTGACGGTGCGAGTCATTCGTAAATCCTCTGCTCCTGAGCCTCGTGTGGAACACATCTTTGTTTTCGAATCCTATGACAGAAACACCTTTTTCTTAAAATATTAAAAATAACATTTTTTTTTTCTTTAAGTGATTAGAAAGTGGTAAAAAAGTTTTAATAAATAAGATATAAGTTTAATAAATTTGTGCTGGGGATAATTTGGATAGGTTAGCTTGAAGTTTTATATTTTTTTAAAATTTTAATTTAACTTAGATCACAAATATTTAAAATCATTTTTTCTTTTAAATTATAATTTCAAAATATTTTAAAAAATAAAATATACTAATCAATATTTAAATAATTTAATATTTTAAATATATACATTTAATTAATAAAATAATTGAATAAATTAAATAATAATTATATTACTGTTATTATTAATATTAATATTAATATTATTTAATAATTTTAGTAGGATATAATAAATTGTCTTTCCATACAAAATTTATCAGTTCACATGAAAAAAATGAGTCAAATTAAATTAAGTTGAATTTTATTAAATTAATATGAAAATTTAACTTATTCAAGTCAAGTCCAATGTCTAATTGAATTATGGATTTAGCAACCAAAAAATATATTATTAAACAATAAATCTTATTTTAAATATATTTTTAAAATATTATTAACATAATAATACACGTATTATAAATATTTATTTGTTTTATGTGCATATGAAGGTAAAAGACAATTCACTCATTTGTTTTGTATTATGATGTAATTTTTTAAAAAGAATTTACTCATTTTGTTTTCTAACTGCATGACGATGTGGACAAAAATAATTTTATATCTACTTCTTGCTATAATAAATTATTAAATCAGATCTGAGTAAATAAAAAAAATTCACTAATTTTAACTTTTATATAAAGTTTATATAACATTCTTTTTATAATTATGATAAAATTTATAGTTTTAACCAATGAGTAAATCTGATTTAACATGAATTTGACGTAAGTTGAGATAAAAAAATTAAAAAAATTTAATAATAAATTATAATCGGTGAGTTAAATAGGATTGAATAGGATTGGTAATGATTCAACTTTTTTTATATTTAATATTTTATTTTATTATTATTTATATGTTTGAGCAAATTTAAGAAAAAAATATTTTAATGAGTTAATTTACTTAATCCATAGTAACTTAAAAAGAAAAAAAAATTATTTAAGTGGTCAACACCGCCTAACCACTAATCTTTGGTAGTTCGGATTATAAATTTTTTTTTAACAAAAAATGAGTTGGTGACCCATTTTTAACATTTTCCATGATGAGCATAATAAGTGAAAATAATTTATTCATAACTACTATTTTCTATTTTAAGAACATTACATAAAAGAAATACGAGAGAGTGATTAAAAAATTTAGAGAAAAAATTAGAAAGAGAAAGTGATAAGAATATGGTAGTTTTATAGAATGAAATTTAAATAGTTAATATTTTTTTATTTATAAGTCTTTTTAACTTAATTGAAAAATTCAAATTTTATCTCATTAAATCATTTTTATTTTTAATTTATTTAAATTGGGATTTTATAATATGCAAATCCTTGTTTAAATTGGGCTTTATGTAACTCATAAAAAAAAAAAAGATAAAAGAGAACTAAATCAAAAATAACTCATAATCTAATAAATATGTTTTATTTATCTTTATAGCTGTCAAATAAGTAGTTTAGTTAAGTTTGTTCTAATCCTACGAACTAAGTAACAAAATTTGATGGGTCTCATCTCGGATCAAAATTTTTAGTCTAACATAATCTTATATTAAGCTAATAGGCTATTGCCTGATTGAATTTAAATATATATATATATATATATATATATATATATATATATAACTATATCTATACAAAATTAATTAATTAAAAATTATTTAAAAAAATATATATCTTTGAAATTTAATTTTTATTAGTAAAATTAATTTTTATTTAAGATATAATGATTTAATGTATAAATTATAAGATAATATATTTCTCCAATCTTAAAATAAGAATTAAAAACTTACTTTTTTTATTATCATTATTTATTTTTTAATAATTTATTAATTTAAAATAATAATTAATTTTAATTATTAGATATTAAAATAAATTATTATTAAAGACTTATTTTAGTATTTATTCTTAAAAAACATTTCTTATCAAATTAATTTATAATATATATATTTTTAATAAAATAATATTATTTTATTTAAAAGAGATTATTATTCTATAAAATGTGTTTGCTCATAATTATATAAATTAACTTATGTAAGTCATGGTGTAAATAGTCTAGTCAAAATAAATTTAACTTAATTTAAGTTATAAATTTTTTAACCAAAAGTTAAGTATGACATGTTAGAAGAGAAGTTAAAAAAACTTAAGATTATAGAAAAGTAATAATTTCATGTAAAGAAAGATTTGAAAGTTATTTATATATATATATATATATATATATATATATATATATATATATATATATATTGTTTTTATTTATAACTATTGTTTTTAATTTTTCCGTTATAGACAAGAATGTTAACGAATAAAAAATAAATAAAATCTCAAAATTCAAATATTTAATAAAAAAATACATAATATTTAAATATTATCATAAACATTTAATTAGTCCTAAATATTTTCATTGAAAAAAATTATAAATTAACATCTAAAATATCATAGATTTAAGGTGGTAAATTATTTAATATCAGATATGAAATTGCATTTTATTGAATAAAATTGTTTATATCATTAACTAATCAATAAACATATAACCATTGTTTGGAGGTGATTAATCGATAATGAAAAGTATTAACATTGTCAATTAATATATTATTTATATATAGGATACTGTGAATATTTCCTCAAAATTATTAATGTCATAGGATGCTAAATTAAAATTGAAGTTGATTGGCATTACAGCCTCATGATGATTATTACATTCCTTGTTTATTTCTGATTCTTTTAAGGTGATTGTCCCTCCAAACTCAACCTATACTCGACCAGCATTAGATATCATGAGGCAAAACAAGGAGTGGACAGAGAAAAGGACAAAAGTTAAGGTATGAGATCCAACTTTGAATTTTTCATTTTACTTTCTTTCATGCTAAGCTAACCTAATCTTAAGCTATATCATGGAATCTATAAGATCATTGGGGTGTTGGATTTGTTCAAGACTATGTTTATGCATGCAATTATGACCAAAATATGTGACTTTAAAGATTGGAACTTTTTAGCATGCGGCTTCTAGAGATCTTTGAAGGTATAATAGGTCTTTGGATTCATTTCGTCTTGTCCTAGTCAGTGCACCGATTTTGGGCTTAAGCTAGGCACACATGGTCCTCAAAATTTGGGTCCACAAAATTACATACGATCCTCGTAACCATGAAGCTATGAACTAAAGATAGATTGTGGTCCACCTACCCTATAATTTGTAGCTTCACCCACCCATTTGCTTCAACTTTTTCTTTATTTTCCTCTCATGAAAAACCATGCACAAGGTCCTATTCCTCACCACTTAGAAAACTCTCTTAAATACTTAAAAAAGAGAACATATTACTATATCTTCTGTAAAGAATACACATGATTTATAATGAAAAAATGTCTATTCATATAGGGGTTTTGTTCCCTTGTAGGTAGACTTAGGAAAACTTACCCTATTTTTCTGACTTCCAATCAACATCAATGACAATACATGCTTACCATCCAAGATGGTTAATTGAACAGTAGCATTGCCACCACACCTAGGTCTAGTGTACCTAATTGGATAACTGCATTTATTACTAACTCCCAACCCATTGTTCCCTTGTTAATTTCATCATGGGACCACAGTTATATCATTGAACTGCTTTTGCAGTAGCATCCTTTTCCTTCTTCAATAGATTGTGGTCTATAACCTTGCTATCATCTGACATTAACAACATGGCTTTTTTATGTGTCCAACATTCGCAGGTAATGTTGTGCAGTAGTGTAATACATTTACCATTTTCCATCTCCTGCTATGTTCCCCTTCCTCCAGACTGTCAAGCTTTATGAGGAAGTCATCAACATTATCACACTGTTATTACTTAACATTCTCTTCTTCTTTCTTTCAATAATAGAAAAGTATTTCATGGAAGGAAAGTACCACACATTAACAAGCAAATCATTAGCAAAACCAAGTTAATCTGAACAAGTAAAGGCAAAAGGTAAAAGGGTTTTATATCCTCTAAAAAAGGGGTGCAATTGACTAATGAAATTACCGGAAGGAAACACATATTTCAGATTATGAGAGAATTATGATCATAGTAGTTGTTAAGGAAACTAAAACTCATCATGTGTGTCAGAGTTAGAGACAAACTTGAATAAGCTCATGATAAAAGTCTTCGGATTCTTTTGTACCCCAGGATTGAAAAGTGCCAAAAATTGAACCAGAGTATAAAGAAGTGTTTTTATTTGTAGATTTGGATCAGATTGAATGTCAAGCTTTCTTTCAAAGAAGTGTTTATATTGTTCCATTAATATTATATGGATTTAAGCAACGTAGCATCAAGACAACTAATCATTTCAAATAGTTGATGAAAATGAACCATGTATGTAAAGTAGATACTATAAACCTGTTTGGATTATCTTTTGCAAAGTTGGATTAGTTGTCAAGTTCTTACTACATTAAAAGTTTAAAACCATAAGACTTGAAATTAAAGGCAGAATTTCTCATATTCTATACAACTTTGAAAAACCAGTAACTAGACCATCTTCTATTAACTACAAGAAGTTAAAAGAATAACAATTATACTATTCAAAGAAACTATTATTACCAGACACCAATTTTAGGGGTTTTTAATATAATGAAATAACTTTTAGGGTTCTTTTCACATGGGCTGTAAACTATGTATGAATATCAATTAATAATGACAGCAAATTGGTCAATATTTTGACTGACTACTAGAAGAAAGTTACCAAGTCACTAAAGCTAAAAAACAGTTGACTAGACTAGACTAGACACAAATTTAAAAGACCAGGGACAATGATTTAATCTTCTATTAAACAACAAAATCACTACTCACAGCAAGCACTATTACAACATTGAGAATATCCATTGCAACATGCAAAGGAAATATGGATGACGAGGAATTATAAATCTCAAGACTGACTTCTTCACGTGCAAAGTTAGGGGTTACAAACTCACTTATGAACCACCATTTCATAGTTTATAGGCACATGATTTGATTGTTCTATTTACCCTAAATCATATAATGAAAGACAGAGATAGTTTACCTTCTGCTTTTCGCATGTATAATGAAGGTCGAAGATCAAAACATAAAGTAAGGTCAAAAGCAAAAGACAATATATAATAGCTCACACGAAAGTTAAAATCAGCAGATACTGTAAAATTAATTGGCCATAGCTTGACCTGTCTTTCATAATGTCTAAGACATCCAAAGGGCATGAAAGGGGCATATCACAAGTCCAAATCCACTTCATCCCAAAAGCATAGTATCTACAAAAGAAACATCTACCAAGAAAATAATACACACTCCAAAGTGGTTCCAATTTTGAAACATATTCAGTCACTATCATGCCATGCCATTCACCATTAAGCTTTCAATTTCACAATCAAAACATTAAAACAAATCAAACTTCCAAAGGGGGGAGATTTATTCACATCATACAAAACATGTTCAGGATAATTAAAGATCCCCGACAAGAACAGCAAAGCTACTCAACAAAAGCATATTGTTCACTTTAGCTCAATGTTCCAATTATATACAAATGTCTCTGACAGCAATAGGTTTGGCCTAGAAGGAACATGTGGTGTTTGGAGAATAGAACCAACAAAAAATTTAAACCAAAACAGTCTAGAGAATCATGAAACAGAAAGTGAAAGCAACCAACATATCAAAATTTCAACAATAAGCTAGGCAAATTTCACACTGGTTTCCAAAAGGAGAGACCTATTGAACCTATATGAAAGTTCACGAGATTCTCTTACTGGCATATCATTAAATCAGAGAAAATGCACCAATCGCTCCAAAACAATGCCATAAGGATAAGGGCCCATTGTATAAATTAAGACTGTAACCAGCCTCCACAGAAACCACTTTGAAGCACATCACATGTCCACATCTGTGCAAACTTTACACTCAAGTAAGGACTTATTTGTTGTTACTTTCTCCCAAAGTAGCACACATTCTTATTGGGTGAACGAATCCCCAACCATGTTGGATGGAGAAGGGAAAATTTTTCGATTTTAATGGATCTCAATTTTATGTTATATATTAATGAAGCCTCTAAGTTTATTATTATAACTAAAAAAATTATTTACCATTTTTTAATACACCTTAAACTAAGCCAATATAGACATTTCCTTAAGTATTTACTTCACAGTAAACTTACTTTACATTGCTTTTAAAGCGAAGAAGGGGTGATATATATATATATATATATATATATATATATATATATATATATATATATATATATATATATATATATATATATATATATATATATATATATATATATATATATAATATGTTATGGTATTATTTGATTTGAAACAAAAGAAATGAATAATAAATGAACGTAAATAATTTTCTCTTGTTTCTATTTTTCCTCCTACATTTGATCATTTAGAAGAGAGAAAATTTACTACATAAATAAGAAATTTATTAAATAAAAATTTACTTAGAGACAAAAATTCAGTCATTATATAGATTGATTTAGAAATTGAGGATGGTTAGTCTTCAAATTAAGTTATATTTTATTTGTATTGAAGGTTTCTAAACTAGTTATTAAATTAGTCTATAAAGTTAATGGTTAAGGTTTAATTATTTTAAATTTAATCTCTAATTATTTCAATGACTAGTTCAAACTAAATTTGTCTATTTCTATCTTTTTATTGAATTTATAATATGAATATATTTTTTATTTTTCTCTTACTCTTTATACACCAAATAAATAGATACATTTCCTTTTCTTAAACGATTTTTTTAACAGTTGAATTTAAAACAAATAAACAGTATTAATTATTATTTTATTAATTATACCCTTTTATTTAATATTTATATTTTTATTTATTGTGATGTAGAAATGAAGAAGGACAAAATAAATAAATTATATAACTAACATTTTTATTTCATTTATTCAGGACTTAAAACAACAGTAAAAAAAAAAACTAATGAAATAACTAATAACTTATTCTAAATGGTACTAAAGTCAATTTCTTTAAATAAGATTTCAAGTTTAGGTTTTGACATTGAGAAAAAGAAAACATAGTTAAAGGAGAAAACACCATTAAAATTTATCAAATTTAACAAATAACATAAAAATAAAAATTACTCTTACAACTCTCTTTTTTCTTTCCAATGCCTTCTAATAAACCTGACACAATTCTCTTATGCTCTGCAGAATCTCTATGTATATGAAGAAAACAAACAATACACAAAAGTGAACGAGAAGAGGAAGATCAATATTTACTTGGGCCGAGCACAATTCATAACTAATGTGAAAAATAAGAAAAAGGGATTTTATTGGGCTTTTTAGTAATCTCGGATTTGATCAATGAAAATTTGGGCCGAAAGAAAATAAAGTATTTTGTATTATTAAACTATTAAAAATTATGTATAATTTATATTGGATTTTTTTAACATAAAAATATTCTTTTAAAATCAAATAAAATTTAATCTCTGACCCCTTTTTTCTTGTTTACAATCCTAAATATTAAAAAAAAAACGTATTTGAGAAAATATATTATATTTGAGATATAGACAATTTTAAGAGTTAAGACAGTAGAGGTTTAGTCAAATTTTAATAAAATTTGAAGAAAAAAGATTTTATTTTTATAAAAAATCTATTGTTATGAATGTTGAGTTCTTATGGAGAACTAGAATAATTTAATTTGTAGATATTTAAAATAAAAAATTAAAAAAATAATATATTAGATATAATATAACTGATAAAATGTTTCTATTAATTAATTTTTGATCAAATAATAATTTAAGGAAAATATAAAAGTTATATATAATTTAATTTAATTTTAATATAAAATTAAACTAAATCAAAGCAATATTTTATAATTAAATTTCTATAATTTTTGGTGATACAAATGGATAAATATATTATAATAAAAAATTGTGAAATAGAAATATATGTTGTGATATTTTTATATATTTATAATTTAAATTTATTATTATATTTAGTGAATATATATATATATATATATTATAATAAAATATAATCAAAACATGAAAATTAATTATAATTTTTAATGATAAAGTTTTTAAATAATAATTAAATAAAACTAAATTGTTTATTGTACGTAAATATATTATAAAGTAATTAATTATAAATATATAATTTTATGTTTAAATGTACTAATGCTTTAGTTCATTAATTTTTAATTTAAAATACAAACTAATTTGTCTTGTTATAAAATTCCAAAAATTTAAAAAAAAATTAATCTTTTGTTGATTTGTTAATAATGTTTTATTATTTTTTTAATTGTTTTAATTTTAAATATCCTATCTTCATTTGAAAATATGAAAGAATTCAATTTATTAAAAAAATATAAAATAAAGTATATATATATATATATATATATATATATATATATATATAATTACCCTTTTCAATAATAATTCAATGTACCACTGAAATATACCATAACAAACACTTTACCGCAATTAATTTAAAAAATAAAATCTAACAAATAATGTAACTCGTTGAGAATGACACTACATTTAACTAACACTTTATATTTGCAATGCTTTAGATTTTAAATATTTTCTATACCAAATATTAACAATAAAACATGTTATTTAGTTAAAATAATAATAATAATTATCTACTTTAAATAAAAATACATTGACGAAATGATTGGTTTAACATCAATTATTGAAGATTGTTAGTCTATAAAGATAAAAAAGAAAATGAAATTTTAGGTTTCTATTAATAGATTCATCCTTAAGTTCACCTAGTTGAAAAAGAATCATGGAAGGGACCAGAGAGAAGTTAAATAGAAAGTCCAACAAGTTGTTCCCTAAAGTTGCAGGACATGACCCTTCCATATAAGAAAAATATAATTATAATATAATTATAAAAAAAGGGTCATTTTCCTCCTTTACCATTCACATGTTTAGGATTTGAGGTTAGTAAACGTTGGTAAATGTTTGTTCGTTGGTCATTGAGACTGGACAGTGATAATATGTACCTTCGGATATAAAATTTCGTTATGGTTCAAGAAGAAAAGAGCATGCACTACTATCATATGATTTGACGATTCTATCAACCAATCCCAGAGAGTGTTGTCTCTTGTCTATGAAAGCAAAACAAGAGGGTAAAACAAACATATTTGACTATGATGTGAGTCTTGTACAACAAGCATCACAAATGGGGATATACCATGTAATTAATCAATCACTATTTTATGTTTTTCTTTTATGGATATAAAATGTTAGGTTACAAAATAAAACACATTTGTACCCACTAATTAATAAGTATAATCTTATATGAAATCCTTCTATTGATATTTGAATAATATTATATATTATATAAGGTTTGTAGTAATAATTGCTAATTTTAAGTAAATTTAAATATCAGTTATGGAATTTACCTGCATTTACATAATTTTTTTTTAAACATAATGTAATTTTTTAAGTCATGTTTCTAAAAATACATTTTTATTTTCTTAGTTCATCAAGAAAGTAAAATTTAAATATCTAGTTTGGTGATGATAATTTAATTTCTTTAATGGTTTATTTTATAAAACTTTAATTCTTGATTTCAAGCTCTAAAGAGAAATAGAAATACAAAATATAAAATAAGGAGACAAAAAATAAATATATACAAATAATATAATACCAATATGTAATCCTAGTTACAATTTCTCTAGAGATTGAATGGAATACCAAATGTACTCTTTCATGTATTTGATATTCATAATGTAAATAAAATTCTTCAAATTAATTGTATTCATAATAATTTTACAATAGGTAATAATATTATGAATAAGATTAATATATGATTGGGTAACCTGAAATATGATATTTTTTTAATAAACACAAACTGAAATTCAATTTTAAACTTCAAGATACTCATTTCACTATAGATCAACAATTGAAATTAATGTATAGATTACATGTTAATATAACTATTCAAAAACATTATTATTTTTTTCAATATACTTAATAATGGAATCACTATATTCAACTTGAACATGATGGGACTTGTTTAGTATTTTGTTGTGATATCTATTTTAGGAAACACATTATATATTACTAAATAATGAATTCACAATTTTAATCATTTTTAAATATCTTATATTTATGCTTCTATATTTTTCAAAAATAAATTAATAACATTTAATTATATTCATATAAATATTAATAAAAACTGTAATAGTTCTATATTTTCTCATAATTGATCAAATACTGATATGATTCTTTTAATCCTTTGTTTAGTATACTAATCCCACAACAAATTATGAAATAATCTAATTCTGTCAGAGACATGTGAGTCAATTATTTTTTAATCTATGCAAAATTCTATTAACAATTATTTATATTTCATTTCCTTGTCAATGAGCGTCGTCATGGTTGTGTCGCACTCTTCTGCACTCTCTAGATATAAATACAACATTTTCTCATCTTTGAAAATTCTTATCAACAAGTAATTTCATTTTTTATTCCCCACAGTATATTAAAAATTTAGATAGGCTATATAGTATCACAAATAAAACCAATAATATTTCCTTTCTCATTTATAAAGAAAAATAAAATCATACAGTAATAAAATCAGAATATAAGTTTTTTTGTTTATTAAAGGAAAAAAAATGTCAGTTTAAGACATCCTAATAATTTATGAATAACAAAAATTTAGTCGGTAACAACTCCGATGACAAACCCCCAGGATGGTTTGAGAGGGCATTTGAATATTGTAATGTTGCAGGGAAGTGATAGCCATTTTGAAAAGAAAAATTGCATACGACCTTTATTTGTCACATCTCCACCAAGGAAAACCCACCTTTGTCATAGCAGGCGTGGACCTCACTTCTCCACCAACCATCACAGACCTTTTCAAGTTGGCACAAATAAAATAATGTGTTGTACGGACAACATCACACTCATTCACACATGCACAACACAGATTGTGTAATCTCAGCACAACATGTGTTGTGTTCTGCTAATTGGCTCATCACAATCAAGAAGATTACATGTCTTAGGAAAAAAGAATAAATAAAAAGGGCCGTGCACCCAAAAATAACTATATATGTAAGATTTTATTTTTATTTTTTCTCTTTTCTCCTCAAGTCCCTAAGATGAGACTTGACATGTTGGGGACTCTGATGAGGACTGTTTCAACACTGACCAACTTTCCCTAACAATGCAATAGTTTCCCAGCAATTAGATAATAGCACATGACTTAGTTATTTTGAATCCAACACAAGTCAGTGCAGGACAGCCTGAATGTTGTTACACTTCTAAAGGACACTGCTACTGCTAGGCAGAAGAAAATTGGTCCATCCACAACCTTGGATTAGATGCTGTCTAGTTAAAAAGGTGATAAAAGAAGTGAAGAAAAGTTTACAAATTAAAAACCGTTACACCAAATTGTGATAAAGCCTAGGCAATCAATCAAATATATTTAAATGCATCATTATCTCCATTTTCAAAGCAAGCAGAGAAAAATGCATAGCTTTTTGACTATGAAATACTTTTTGCTTTGATTATAAGAACAGCAAAACATTTACCAATCAAGTTAGAGAGGAAACTAGAAATACATGTGGCTGTGTTGTATTTTCAAATGCTATAATATACCAGTATCCATGAATAAACAACCTTCTCAGCAAGTACACTTTGTATAAAACGTTGAAACACAGAAATCATATTAAACTTTACTAGAACAACGGAGAAAATTCAGACACAAAAGTGAATAGCTGTTGATTGTATGATGAACAACCTAAGGAGCAATTTCAAGCCTAGGCTCAAAGCAAAAACCAGTGAATAGCTGTAGAGGGAACCTCTTTGTTACAGGGCATTTCTGTGACCATTTCCATTGTTTAATGCTCATATCAAATGTGAGGAGTGCTGGAGATCCATAACTTTGAATATATATTTGATCATCGGTACCGCTGCTAGCAAAAACATCATCAAACTCCCCAAAGCCTTGGAAGTATTTGGGGGGCATTCGAACAATCTCTTCCCACTTCCTGTCATTAAGAACCCATATGCCAATTCCTTTTATAATGTCAGGTCGATCCTGCTTACCAATTCCTCCCACCATTACAAGCTTCTCCTTCATATTCATCAATCTGCCACATGTTAGTGAGCAAGGTGCAGCAATAAAGCTCCTTCTCAAGGTAGCTTGAGAAGTGCGATTAGAGATATTATATGCAATGAGTGCGTGCCTACTTTCAGAAGGAACACCTCCAGCTGAGTACACTAAAAAGTATAACACACCATTGCATATCACACTCTCATTACCACCTCTCCACCCCATTAAAACCTCTGTTAAACTTGTCATCCAGGTCTCTTTCTGTGAGTGGTATAAATGTATCGAGATCTCCCACTGGACAAAATCCTCAGGGATTTGTTTTGATTTCACGATTGCCAAAATGTAACTATGGGATTTCCTGTTCACTGACATTGCCAATGCAGTGTAATCAGAATATTTCAAACCCGGAGGATCTTCAAGCCTCCTGCACCTTTTGGTAATAGGGTTGCACATGCATAATTTGCTTCTGCTGTCATTGTCCATAAAGCAAACTAGACCATAAGATGAAACAATGAACCAACTAGATGTTTCGATGAAGGGAAGCTCAATGCCATACCATTTCCGAAGGACGGGATCATAAGCATAACCAGTTGGTTCATCCGAGTTAGTAAACATAAAGTACCAAGGTCTCTGTGGCAGTGAATTGGAAGGGTTCCATTGAAAACTATCAGATGTAACAATCTCAAACCATCTTTTACACACAGAGCTTGCTCTGAAAATGCTTACAACGGGGAGATAGGCAAGAATTCGCTCCACCAGTTCATCAGGTAATAGTGTGTTCACAGAAATAGCAGTTCCTTCTTTATCAACTTCCTCACCAAATTCCAAAACTGAATCAAACTCCCTAGTCTCCCTTCGTGTACCATCATCTGAGTGGCTTACCCACGATGTGTCTCCCGCCATGATAGAGTTGAAAGTGAAGGGTCACTGAGTGTATTCAGAAGTACTCGGCTAACTGCTAAAACATCCTAACAAATAAGAAAGAAAACCAGATATTATATCACTTGAGGATATTCCAAAAATGAAAAACGAAAACCAGATCGTGGAAAATCAAACTAATACAAGGTGAAGCATCTCATGACAAAAACGAAAAAGACACACCTAAAACTGACGTAGGAAGAACATAAACAAGATAAAGCACACACAAGAAAAAGAAATACTATCTTGCACATGATAAATGATCAAAGGATGAATTGGACAAAATACAGCATGTGCACAATCATCAGATCTCACCAAAGATAAGAAGACTCAAACAAAAAATCACCTCTTTTTAAGAAGAAAATCACAAATTCTGAACCTCTGGTAAAAGGACCACAGGGAAACCAAAAGCTATCACATGTCCTACTTTATAGCTGTTTTAGAAAACCTGGTCCAGTCCACATGCTACTGGGTAAGATTGTGAAAAAGTTGGAATTAGCAATTGAAGACAAACCCCACCTTGGGAAATTTCGTAAAAATAGTTTGGTACTTTGAAACTAACATTGTTAACGAATCCAAATAGAACGTTAGTGCAACCAAAATGAGCTGATAGCAGACACCCCAAGTAAAGCGATAAACATACAATATAATATTTAAGTACACTCATAGATAACACCGCAACCAAACTCAAAAAACAGCATGCTTCGAGATTAGCTCATAAATTTCATGTCAAAGTAAAACATGCAAGAAGGCATACAGGAAAACCACGCATAACACAAAGGAACACTTTCATCAAACAGAAGAGAGTAACAAAGTTCACACACAATATATCATTAGGCGAACAAACACTACAACCTGCTGGTTCCTCACAAGCATTTCAAATAGTGCCAAAATCAACGTTCAATAATAATAAAAAAAATCCAGAAAGCCTCTTTCTGCACAGAGCAGTAACATTTATAAACAGAACAGCACCCGATAAGAGATTTGGTGAGATTCAAACAGAACAAAACAAAGAGAGAGAGAGAGAGAGAGAGAGAGAATGAGTGAGGAAAGTGATACCAAACGGCAAAATACCCATCAAGAAACACCGAAAATCCTAGAACCTCAGAGACTAATCAGTGAAAGAAGCAATCCCAAGCAGAAATCAAATTCCAAAGACGCACACAGTACAGATCAACGGACACAGAGGACCACCCACAGAAAAGGGAAACAACCAGCAACCACCCTTTGAGGAAAAAAAAAAGGAAAGAAAACATTTCGAGGATTGAAAGATGAAACCCATTACACAGAGAGATAGATACCTTGTTTGAAAGGCTCCACAAGAGTAAGTGTGGAAATGGGGTGTGAGGTGATGGAAGGGATTTATTATAGGGGAAAAGAAAAAGTTGGGAGGAATGAAATTATTATTATTAGGGAATGGGAATTGAAAGGACCCAGAAAAGCACTGAACCTTATGGGGAAAACAGAATGGAGGACGTATAAAATTTTCCTCCAAATGGGAGAACAACGAAATGGGTTGCTCTAGATTTGGTTGATAAACAAGGCCAAGCAACACACTAAATAGAGATAGAGAGAGAGAGTAAGGAAGAAAAAAAAAGTTTCTTTTTCTTTTTTGTTTATTTATTTTGGTGTGGGGTTGATAGTAAAAAACGACAGGAAATGAAGTGCGGTTTTAGCGTGGGGGTGGATAGTGTCTTCTCTGCGGGAAGAGGGAAGCGCGTGCAGGGCGCGTGGGAAGTTGAGCTTAGGCTTCTTCTTCTTTTTTATTGGTATAGGAAAAACAAATAGTATACACGAAAATGAAAAATAAATAATATCCATAATCTCATCTTATTTTTATTCTATTTCTAAGCACTAATATCATTTTCACTCCTCTAATTTTTACTTTCTTCCTCTAATTTATATACAACCAATAAGGATATTAAGATATGTTTGATAAAGATAGTGAATAAATATAACAATACGTAGAAATTATACTATTTTATTAGTAAAGATAAATAGCATAATTACTTTTTTATTTTTCTCATTCTATTTTTAACTAACTTGTCAAATAAATCCATTTTATTTCATCAATCATATTTGCGCACCTTCCCCTCAAACCAAACATGTCATTATTTTTTATAATTGGCCTCATTATATGAATCAACAATATATATCATTAGAATTAGAATCATTGTTGTGTTGCACCTATATGTCATATGCATGTATGATATTTATGAGAGCTATAAAAATTTCCCTCACTTAACACTTAAATGAATAATTTCATCAAGTGTATGATGGATATCATCCACTACCTATAAAGGGTACAAGAATCATTAAAATGTTTGTAAGTTTATCTTCTCATTAACACCATGGAAATAGACTAAAGGTTGTAAAAAACCAGTAAAAAGTTCATAGCATAGTTTCTAACACTTTCCTACATCACGTAAATGAACTAAAATTCAAAACAAATTTGTTGCTAGCATAACTAACAAATTGATTTGTTCCTCTCATCATTTTTCTCCATAGAATCTTCAATCATAAAAGTTGAGCGAGTATAATATTTTTTCAATTTCATGTGACGTAGTAAGGACTTTTATTTGGAAAGTTTCACATGTAATCAATTTAATTAAATTTTTAAAATTTTGTATAATCAATTATAATTTTATCTTTTAAGCTATTTTTTTACTGTATATTTAGTTATTTGTCTACTTACTCATTACTTTCATAATTTATTATATCTTTCTATAGGAGAAAGTATGCTCATCTTATAATATGATTGGGAAGATTGATTTTCTTTTTTATTTAATTTTTTTATAGATATTTCTGTTGTTTATTAAAATTTAATCTTGTTGGGTTAATCACCTTAAATTCCAAACAACTTCCCTTCTTTTCCAAAATAATCTATTTTTGTTGCATGTTTAGAGTCCAACTATTTGATTAAATTGTCACAACTTATCTTGCTTTCTAAAATATAATTCTCAATCTACACATCCATTTAAATAAAATATTAATATAGATAAACAATTACGTACCCTTCTTGATAATTTATTACCTATATTTTGATTCATTTTTTTACCCAAAAAACAACTATTATCTTAAAATCCTTTTTAGCAAAGTTACTAAAAAAAAAAACTAATTCTAATTACAATCAATTATCAAATATAATATAATTTTGTAGTTGTTCAAACACACACCTAAAACCATAAGTTTATAAATATTTTATAATAGAAATTTAGGTATCATAATATTGCTTTTCATAACCAATATTCATAACCAATATAAATATTAATAACAAATTAGGATTTGGAGCCCTAATCCTACCTTCAGTCATTTTAATTGTTATTGTCGATCAAATCACATACACAATTCGATCATTAACTCAATTATTACCAAAAAAATAAATAAAAAATTGAAGAGACGTGATTCTCATAACATTCTTGGGAGGAATATTAATATTGATGATTTTGACCAAAAATTTAATTATGATTTCGAATTTTTTTAATTTATATTTGTATTTATAATTTTGGTACTTTAAACTTTAACATTTTTAAATATATTTGTTTGTACAAATTTAACCTCTATTTAATATTTTATTATTTTTTTATATTTATTTATTATTTTATTGATAATATATTATTTAACTATTTAATATTAATAATTAATATGTACAAATATTAATAATTAATATGTAAAACTGGACTAAAGTCAAATTAAACTTAATATTATTAAATATATTTATTTATAAAAAATTAATTTTTAATTTTTGTAAATTTTTTTATTATTTATTAATAATATATTATTTAAATTTTATGATTAATACAAGGATTAAAGTTAAATTAGGAGTCAGTGAAACAGTTAACTAAAGAGAAAGGAGAAAAATGACCATTAATTTTTTTTATCATATACCATTTAAATAAATATAAAAATTTAACATATTTAGATTAAAAAAAGTGAGAATTGTTTTTGTATGATAATAAGAAAAACAATAAAGATAAAATGTATTTTTTTATTATAATGGATATATTTATTTATTTCTTATAAAAAATAATTAATAATTACATTAGTAATTTGAATATAAATAAATATTTTATTTTAATTTGATTATTTATTATTTTAAAAATAAACATTTTCCTTCATTTTTTTTATATTTTGTCTTTACTGTATAATAGATCCTTATTAATAATAAAAATTAAAAATATTAATGACAAATATAAATATGAGCTTGAAATTATTAATAAAATTTAAGAAATGATGTTAAATATTTTTAAATATTCAATAAAAAACACAATAATATCCTATAATTAATAGTCAAAATAATATTGATGGGTGGATTTGATAAAATATTTATATAAAAAATAAAATATCTTTAACTTTATATATATTTTTTTAAATATTTATTTTTATAAAATAAAATTAAGCTGTGAATGTATTTATTTTTTATGACTTAAAAAAAATCACAAGTGATTTATTTATTTATTTATTTTATCATAAAATAAAATTGATATAATTTATCATTTCAAATTATTTTCTTAATATGACTAATCAATTTAAATATTACTAGCATTTAGCCTAGGTCCTCGTATCAACCTTTTATTTTTTTTAAATTTAATAAAAATTATAAATGTTGTATATCACTGTTTTATTAAAAATTTTGATTCCTATTTTTTTCGCTGTTTAATCTTCATTTAAACGTTGACAAATTCTATTATAAATTATGCGACAAGTTTTAGTGATTTTTAAAATTTCATTCAATATATATATATATATATATATATATATATATATATATATATATATATATATATATATATATATATATTCTTCTTAACACAATCACAATTAAAAATCCTCAACTGTAAATGTAATAATTTCAAATAGAAATAGTCTAAAAGCAACGGTTGGTTTTTCACATCACACATACATAGCCACGTAGCCATTTATCACTCACAAGTGACAAAAACACAAAGTTTTAACCTTTTCAGGGTCTCTTGAAAGACTTCTCCATTCTTTCTTGTCATGTTTTATTTCTTTTTTTTATAATTGTTTTTCCTAATAACTCTTTATTTTTATCATTTAATTTGGGAGATTTCTTTTTCTTGAAATGGGGTGTTTTCTTTTAACACTTGGGAGCTAAAGTTGGAATATTTTGTTTGATTTGACTTCACTGTCCTAAGAATCATCTGGGGGTGTTTTCATTTTCTATAATATATTTGTTTTAAGCAAAAATGAAGAAATTCTTCTTAGGTCAGTTTGGCATGGATATGTCTGTTTATTAATAAAATTATAGTGACAATTTTGCTTAGGTAAGGTTTTCTTTGAGATTGATATAGTATAAATATTAAAACCAGGATCTTATTGGGAGACGGGAATAATAGTGTAAATTTTTTAAATTTATATTAATATTTTTAATTTTGATTTTTAATTAATAATAAGTTAGATTTTTAATTAATAATTATTTTCAAAGTTTTGTAATTTATTATTTTAATATTTCTAATGATTATTAAATATAGTTATTTATATATTTAAAATTTTAATTTTTTATTTTTTCATATTTTTATATTTTTCATATTTATTTATAATATATTATTTGATCTAATTTATAATAAAAAATCATGATAAAGAAAATTTATCATTATATTCTATAAAAAGTATATCACTGTATTAAAAATAATGTGTACATAATTAAATTTAATGGACATACAATAAAATAATATATTTTTTAACACAAAAGAATAAAACTTGTGACATTTAAAATAATTGGGAGCAAAATGTAATAATATATATGAAAATTGTTTTATTATTATCACATATAAAAATAATAACAAACAAAATTTCCTTTAAATATTCTTTTTCATGATATAATACAATGAAATTTTTATTTAAAGTAATAACTATCTGGTAAATATTTAATATGTCTAATAATTATCTTTGTGACATCTTTTTTAGTTGAATAATTTATCAATAAAAACATTTAAGACACAAATTTAACTAACTAGGGTTCATGTGAATGTTTTGATATTAGTTTATCAAAAATTTGGATGGTTGATGATCATAGTAAGAAATTACATTATGTTATCATATACTTATTGAGGTCTATTATAGATTCTTTTGAATAAAATAACATAAACGAAGAGTAATTAATTTATATGATGTTATTAATTTCTTAAAAAATAATGTTTTATTTTTATTCTTATTAATTATCATACATCAATTATACACATAATCATATTTTAATATAAACATATAAAAATAAATTTATTAAAATAATATATATATATATATATATATATATATATATAATTATGTCATATATAAAGCCTACAAAATAGTAATTTTGATTAACATTAATAGTATTATAATATAATAAAATATTATCAACATTAATTGTAATCTAGTGACTGTAAACAAAAATTTGAGAATGTAATTATCATACACATAATTTTTTTTATGTTTTAAACTATTAAAAGTTTTTATATTTCATAGTATTTTTTTTGTGATTTTATAAAATCTAAACAAAATATATTTATATTAATTTTTATAAAAAAATTATAGAAAAAATTGCACTAAATATAAATAATATAGTATATAATATTAAAACCAAATATTTCAAAATCTTTTGATAATATATTTTTGTCTTGTGAGAATAGAAAGTAGTCAAGATGATTTGATACTGAATATGAAATTAAAGGTCTTATGAGGTGTCCACATATTACACTAGAGAAAGTAACAGGATTATTTATATTTTTATCAATATTTTGTAGTGAATTTCATTTTTGACCTATAAAAGCATTTTACAAGACACTAACAATCTGACACGTAAACTTGAAATGTTGACATTATTCACACAAATTCTCCAATTATTCAAGTTGAGAAGACAGGGAAAACAATATTATTAGTTTGTAGTTTTTGTTGTCTTTGGTGCTTGTCGAAGTGACCATGATGTATAACAGGAAAAGTCCAAAAAAACTGATTCAATTGAAATGGTGGTGGCACTGGTTAGGTGTTTGGTGGTGCATAGTGACAATAAGAGAGTTAATTATTGTGGTGGTTTACATTTATATCCATAATTAAGTAATCTTTTTACATCAGATATTGAATTCAATGAAATGCTCTTTTATTATCTTAAGACATGATTTACTGCATAATACTATTGTTCTCTATTTTTTTTTAAAGAAAATATCATTTTTGATATAATTAAATGAAGTGATTTTATAGATATGTCCAAAGAAACTGATCCAAGCTTTAAATGACATAGTTTGCATGGGATTGACATTATTGATGGACGTGGGCCATAAGCCATGGCTAAACCCATCAAATGATTGAGGCATTGCAGGAAAATAGTTTGGCTACATAAATTTGCTCCCTCAGTTTCTGTCTGCAACTTCATCAGACCCGTGGCATTGCTATTATTAGTCATACCCTTGTTCACCGCTTCCCATTGTCCCATGTGCACGCTGAGACCAACCTCAAACCTGTCACTTGTTCATTTTCATGGTTTCTACCACCCTTCAATTTCATCGAACATGCTTCAAAGCTTCATCTCATGTACTGTATAAACTACTTTTTAGACAAAATATGTCTGTGGGGGGAGTTCCCATTCATGTGATTGCAAATTAATTCTATTAAAATAAAAACTATACACTATGTGCATATCAAAGCATATCAGAAAATATTCAGTTTTGGTTGAAAAGGTGTTTCATGAAAGCGACACAATATATATTATAACGCACATAGGTATCATATATACCCAGTATATATTATCCTACACTAATATATTACAAGTGGAAATGGAGAATTAAAGGTGGAATATATATATATTTCTAAATATTAGGTCACAAAAAAAAATGGGGTGTATTTAATTTGTATGTTTAGAAAAATAATTAAATGAAATGTGTTAAAACTAGAGTTGGTGTTATATATATTTCTTCTCTTGAGAAGTATCATGTATTTTTTAAAGTAAGAAAATGTTAAAATTTGACCGTTATTTTGTTAGTAGCATTTTTCTAACTGATGTTAAAATTTTAAATTGAATTTTTAGAAAGAAATTCATTAAAACCATTTTATATTCAATTTACTTTTATTTATTTTATTTTCAATTTATTTATTTTTATCAAATAATTCATGTTGTTTTATTTTTCACTCTTTCCTTGTCTCATCTATTAATTTCATCTTCTTTTATTTATTTATTTTTTTCTCTTTTCTGACCAACGCATTAACTAATTACAACAATTTAGTTTTACCGCTAACTTGAAATTTATTGATATGTGTTAATCGATGATTTATTTTAAATTTAAAATTATATATGAAAGATTGAATTGATATAATATTCAGATACCCAATTAATGTGAAAAATTAAAACATTATGATATATGGAGTAAAAAAATCAACTAAACCTTATCTTAAAAAACAATTAAAAGTTGTCCAATTAAGTTTTTTATTATTATTTTTTGTTTGGATGAGATTTAAAAAACTAAAAATGAGATTAGTGGAATAAAAAAAATAATTAGATATAAATAAAAATGATTGATAAGTTTTTTTGCAAAGTCCAAATGATTTTGGTGAATTTTTTTAAATTTAAACATATTATATAAAAATGTGAAGATTGGTGGAGAGAAGTTATATTATAATCACACGTCTTCTCCAACATACATCAATCATATAAACGTATTATATATAAAATAAAATATTTTTAATCCTAATATAATCTATTATTAGATAATGAATTATGCAGATTTTAAATATAATAAGGCAACACTATTTTGTTATCAGGTGAATAACATAAAAAATAGATAAAACAAAATCCTCTATCATTTAATACGAGCGTAACTTCCAATTATTTTCTAACCACTAAAACGCAGATCCAATAAGAAAACACCATTTTCTAAATCATTATCTTTCAAATGAACCAGAGGAAACATAGAACTCAAGCAAATCACTGTTAATCTATGGGCGCCTACATTAAAAACAGAGAAACCCTAATGAACGAAAACATTGAAGTGGTGGTGATGGAGATGGATTTTAGATGGAGCAGTGGAAAGTGGAAACCCAAGAAGAGAAAAAGGAGCAGAGCAGGTGTTAACGTAAGGCCAAGGGTAGGCAAGCAGCCTACAAACCTACCCTTCATTGTCTCTCTGCACCCTCTCTCTCTCACACACCCCCACCCAATTGCGTCACACATGAAATCACCTTGCATCTCCATCAACCCTACGTTACCCTCTCTCCATGTGTCATCTCTTCATTCGCCAAAACCTTCCTTTTACATTTTCACATCATTTCAATCACTTCCTTCCTACCCCTTAACCCATTCCTGCACAACTTCACCTTCCATTTCAATTTTCATCCCGTTATTATATTTTACTTTTAATCTGTGCAATCTCACGAGTACTACTCTACTACAATGTAGTAGTTGTAGCAAGTACCACCAATTGGTGTTGCTACTCCCCGTAAATCTGCGCGAAATTCCTTGTGCCCCGAGAAGGTTACTAGTTTTGGTATTTGCGAGTGCAGTGCAATCCCAAATGGGTATGTTTGGCTTCCCATGAACCACACCATGCATTTTCTCTGGTATTCGAGCCAAAGCTTGTAACATGTGACCTTCTCCGCATTATGTCATGTTCATAGCTGCATCCTTGCTGTTAGCCTTTGTTTGGTTTGCATGCACATGGAATTCATTTTTTTTTTTTCTTCTAGAAGTGACCAAAGATGTCTATTTTTTAAAGTTGTTGTTATTTTGGAGCAAGGTTTGAGGTAGAAGAACCTCGAACTCTTACCTAGTCTAAGGTTATGGCTGGGGGCTAAGAAAGATTTGATTGGGGCTTCAGTTTGGCACAGCTAATATTGCTGTTATGAATCCTGCAATCAACAGCCTGCTTCAAAGTACTGGCAGCTTGATAAAATAAGTTCTGACAAAAAATTGACTCCGAATAAAGACCTCTCCATAATTCAGTGGCTCAACATTTGGTCAAGCACATTTTGAATGGCCGATTCAAATGTTAGGCACAACACCCTTTACTATCATAATGATGATAAAAAAATACACTTTCATAGAGTGCTATTTTAATAAAATTTGATATTCAAATGATAAGTCAAAAGAGAATTTCATTAAATGTCCATATATATATATATTATTGAAATGAAACTCTAATTTTACTTGGAGAATAACATACATAGATACTTGGAATGTACGATATCTAAGTTTTTTTTTTTTTTCTTGTTTATATTTATATGGAATGGATTTATGACAGGAAGTATTAGAGTCTAAATGGTGTAACAGTGAAGTCCAACTCTCCTATGGGCTTGCATTTAGGCCCTTTTCAGTTGAAAAGAAGATAAAAAGATCTGGGCCATTGAGGCTTGAAAATCACAAGTCCATAAAAAAGAAAAAAAAAGCAAAGATAAGAGACTTGTACTAATTACAAGCAGGATGAACTAGAAGCAACCAAATAATAATAAAAAAGACTTGCGATTTATTAGGTAAAGTGATGATATATAAGTTACAACTGGAACAATTAAATTAGAGTAAAGGGAAGTGACAGAGAACTATAAAGTTCATTATTGAACAAATTAAGGCAAATAAGAATGAATACATAGAGCAAAAATATATCCACATCCATTATTTTTAAACACATTATTAATAACGTTTTAATTTCTGTAAAAGAAAACTTACATGTTCTTGTCTCTTTAGTTTGTTTCTAAAAATAATTTATATAGTTTCCTATAATTATCGTTGAACAATACCCCTTCGAAATATATATATATATATATATATATATATATATATATATATATATATATATTTTAATGTTTATAAAAATTAATAGTTAATGATTTTATTGAAAAATATCAGGTTGACCCAAAAGTCTCCTAAGGTTCTGGGATATTACAGACGCGTGGCTACTAATAATTGCTTTTACACGTGGCGAGAATATGTGGGCCATACTTACCCGTTACGAAAAATCTAGAGAAGATTGTACTTAGCAGTAGACAGCGCGCGAAACATCTGGAAGACAGATTTTTTTGAGTCTAAACATTTCTATTCTCGGATACAAGTGTCCTATATAATACCAGCACGTCCTCTTACACATTCCCAGGAATTAAAATTGTAACAACATCACAACAGTAATCCCCTGCTTCTCAACACAGGCACTCAGAACACACAAATCATTTTCCGCTCAGGGTTGGTGGCTCGAACTTGTACCGATATATCTCTCACTTGGATTTCGCGGAACCGTTTGGCTGGAACTTTAGTTTCTCTTTTTCTTGTTTTGTTTTGTTTTGCCAGGAAATTAATGTAAGTCATTCCTCTCCTCTTCTATATGATTCGTTGTTTTAATCACTCACTCGTGTCTGCTGATAACTCTTATTCGTTACTTGCATTTGGATGTTCACTGTTATTTGGCTAATGCTAAAATTGAATGAGAATGTTCAATTCAGTATGTAAAAGGGAAGAAAAGATTAAGCAAAATATTATCGACGTACTTTATCATGGCTTTTAGCTTTATTATATTCTTACTATTTTCATCTGGGTGTAGGAGCTTTGTTGGTAGATTTTAGTTAATGATCAAATATAAAATTGTTTTGAGTTAATGACTACTGATGCCCATGTTGTAGTTGCGTGATGGTGCTGTATGAACGAGATTTATATTATTTCACTTAGACTAGGAGTGCTACTTATTGGACATGGTGCACAAAAATACTTGTCTTCAAGTTATAATGATTATTGGTGTTGTCATGAATTTTGGAAGAGTTTTTTTAAGATATGGTTAATAATCAAAATGTTCATCATAAGATCTGTGTGTTAATGCCACAGCAACCACATTTTGGTTGTAATCTTTGTCTATGTTGATGAGTTTTTGTGTTAAATTCTAGCAATTGCTAAGATTATGCTGTGGGGAAGTCCCACATGCTTCAATTCTTTAAGTACAAAATATGTTAAAAAAAAAAAAAAAAATACTACGACAATTTAGAGGGAGAAAAATAAGATAAAATAAATTGGATGAACTTCTTGAAAATAAATATTGATGAACTGCTTGAAAATAGTGGGTTTCTATGCTCCCCAGAATTAGAATTATAGGGGTCCCATTATAGAAATATGAAAAAATTGTAGGAATATGGCAATTTCCTTTGTTGATATGAGGTATATTTTTTGTATATAAGGAATGCATAGTATGATGTGATTGTGAATCAATTGAGTTTTGCAATGTTGGTTTTTGACCGTAAAATTATCGAGCTCCCCTGTTTTGTTTTGCATTTCAAAATTTCTTGATATACTCCTGTTTGGCGTGGTTGAATTGGCAGCAAAGGTTTTGTGAACCTTGGTGTTATGCCTGGAGTTGTAGTACTGAGAAGCTGTAATATAGTTTTTATGCAGTTTTTTACGCAGAAAACTGACTACTCTTACGTGCAACTTCTGTTCAGGGGAAAAGATTCTTATTTTATGTTTTACGAGTATGTTTTGCTAGTCTAATTTGCCAAGAAATGGTGTTCTTTTATTCATTCTTGGTTCTTTATTTCTTTGTTATGATGAACATCATTCATGTTTGATTTTTCTGGTTCTTTGTTGAAATTTAGTCTCCTAATTTTCCCCTACAGTATTAGTATTGAAATCTGATACTAATCCTGTACTTAATTGTGAAATGCAGAGTTTGCCTCTGGAGTCACCAAGGTCAGAATTACCCCGTAAAATTCTTTCTTCTCCCTGGTAGCTTTACCAAACATGATGCCAATCAGAACCATGGACTCATACCCATACCAGATAAACCAAATGCCATTCCCTCACTATTACCATCCTGGTATTGAGGCTCTTCCCCCTCAAATGAATGTTGATCCAACCAAACTACCCTTTTCTTATGACCAACGTTGTTCCTATGCTGGCAATTATGGACACCCTATTCCCCCACATTTCTGCTGTGGCCACAACAACTTCCCTTGTCAATATAGCTACATGCCTTCACATCCTCACGCTCCTTCTCCAATGTACTATTCTGGAGGTTGTCCTGCATATAGTGAACCATATTTTGTTCCTAATTCCCCACATCCACGTCATACTATGGAGCTTCCGAGATATGAATATGACAAATATATGCCTCGTGACCATCATTGTTGTGGTTGTCCTAATCATTCATGCAACCAAAAGGAAGGTAAAAGTGTGAAGATTGAAGAGCATGAACCTGATGGTGGAAAGAATGTCAATGATGCTTTGGTTCCTATCCAGCTCAAGAACTATCCATATCCCGTTGTTTGGATTCCACAGGATTACCCAAGTAACAAACAGCTGAAGAATCCTAGTACAATGGAGGTTGGTGAACAAAACAAGCCTCCTAGCCTTGAGAATTCTGACGCTGGTGTACAACCAGCACACGAGCCTAGAGTATGGAATGGATGGTTACCCTTTGATATAAAGGGTGCCCCAAACATGATTCCTGATGGATACGGAGTAAGAAACCAGAAACAGGAGTCTGGCAACTGTAGAGGGGAATCTGAATATGGAGAAATGGACCAGAAAATTCAAAGTGAAAAGAAGAGGTCAGAATTTCCTTTCCCTATCTTCTGGTTGCCTTATTACAATAAGCAGGAGAGTGAAGAAACTAACGACAAGGAGAAGAACGCATCTCCTCCTAAGATCATTGAGGAGGTGCCTCATGCACTTAAATATGTTCCAGTAAAGTCTTATGTTGATGAATGTGGTAGGAATGGAACCGGATCAAATCAAGCTGAACACACAAATAGAAATGCTTCGAATGTCGTAGAGAAAGTGACTAATGCCAGAAGCATACCAGTGAAGCAGATAGGAAAAGATGTTCGTCCAGATCGAATGGACGAGAATGAGACAAAAAAGGACTCCTGCACTGGTGACAAAAAGAAACAATCTACATTTTCACCAAAAGCTTCAAAGTTACCTCCTGTTTGTCTGAGAGTTGATCCACTACCAAGGAAGAAAAAGGGCAATGGGAGTTCGAGGTCCCCGAGTCCACCTTCCTCAAAAGGACATTCCCAAGTGACATCTGGTGAAACAATAAAGACTCCTGTGTGTGGCACAAATGACCAGGCTCAGCCAAAATTGAATAATCAGAATGCTCCAAACACCAGTGAGGAAGTTAAACCGAAGGAGAAGACCATTCAGGTGTCTGAATATAAAACTAATGAAAACAAGGGTGTTGACAGGAGGGATGGATGCCATGGCAAGATAAATGTAAACATAACCAGTGAACATCCGAAAGGGACAAGGGAAACCTGCACAGACGGGGATGCATACAAGGCTACAGATAAAAAGGCAGGGCAAGGAGCAGAAAATATGTTGGAGGAAAATACTAAACTTAGGGAAGTGAAGGATTCTAGCGCACTCTCTGATGTTCGTAGTAAAGAGGGAAGGGTCTTGTCAGATGCAGATGCTGCTATTTTAATACAAGCTGCATATCGCGGCTATCAAGTTAGAAAATGGGAACCATTGAAGAAATTAAAGCAGATAGATGAAGTCAGAAAGGAGGTGATTAATGTTCAAGACTGTGTTCAAGCTTTTGAGAGATCATCTGGTCTTCAAAATGATGACAAGCAAAAAATTGCAATTGGAGAGACCATAATGAGACTCCTGCTGAAGTTGGATACTTTACAGGTACATGCCCGATAACCATATTTTAAATAGGAAGAAATCAGTAATGGGTATTTGATATTCTTTGATTATTGACAGTAAGAATTACATGGAACTTGTTTTGATTTCACACTTTGCAGTTAAAACTTCTCCCTTTGAATCTATTAGCTAATCTTAATTTCATTTGGATTTCATAGCGCCAGTAATGTAGTTTTGGCATTAGCTAATCTCGGTTCGGAAATCAATAAATTAATTATATAATTTTGAGATTTTTATTTCATTTATGAATATGATAATGAATGTTGCTTGCCTAATTACCTTTTATAAGCACTGGGCATGTGAACAAAGATATTTTGATCTGCACTGATGTGTGTTGGTTGTGGTGTTCTAGTCATAATCAATGTTCATATGATTTATGATGTTTAGTACAGTTTTATTTCGTTGTTCAATGTTATTTATGCTAACAAATTGTTCAACATATATATCAGGGTTTGCATCCAAGTTTCAGGGAGATCAGAAAATCCTTGGCTAGAGAGCTCATAATCTTGCAAGAAAGGCTTGATTCTTTAGCTGCTAATAAACCTCAGCAGCAGATGCAGGATTTCCATGTTCAGAAAGATGTTGACGTGACTCCAACTACCATGCAGAATGAAGAACATGTGCAAAGGGAGGAAGAAGAAAAAGTTTCTATACCAGGAGATTCATCTGAAGGCATTAGTGATGATGGAAAAGTATCTCAGTCACCAGTTGATCCTGTACCGAATGAGGGAGCAGAGTCTGTTGTGCTTCCAAATGGTTCGGGTAGTGAGGATACTAGCCAAGTCGGAACAGCTGATACATTGAATTCTACAAGTGATCTGCCTGAGACTGACAATATGGCTGGGTTCACTACCCAAGTCGTTACAGCTGATACATTGAATTCTACAAGTGATCTGTCTGAGACTGACAAAATGGCTGTGGAACCCAAAGCCAAATCAGAAGTGAACGACAGTCCCGTAGAAGTTAATGAATTGGATATAACTGTTGGGGAAGAATTACCGGTGGGAGTTATTGATGAAGATATCAATAGTATCGAGATGGAAGAACACGATAATGTTGGTTCTGGAAGTCTACCACCAGCCATGGTGAATGATTCTGCACTAGATAGATTAGATTCAGAGAACCATGCAGTGATGGAACTTCCAGTGGGATTACTTGATGAGGATGAAAGAAAGAATGAAATGAATCTTTCTAAAGGAGAAAGACAAACTGAAAATGAGATATTCTTTGAGGAGCTGCCAGTGGGACTACTTGATGAGAATCCAGAAAAATCTGAAGTTGAAGCTAACCGTAAAACATATGCAGTGGTTCCACCAGCTCAAGAAGAACGATGTAATGCAGATGAGAAAACAACTTCCACAGATGACCCTTCAAAAGAAACTCAGCTTGAGCAACAGCAGCAGCAGATGGAAAATCAAGATGAGGTGCAGTCTTCTGGGGAATCAGATGGATGGGTAAAGGTTGAGTTCAACAAAGAAGATGAACTCAAAGGGGATTTACCAGTGGATATAGGGATTGAGACTCAGTCAGGTGAATTTGGAATTGGTACTGAGTTGCCACCTTTGACAACACAAGTCAATGATCATGAAGCAGGAAGTAAAGATGTGTGTTTGGAGGCAAATGATGTAAACATCTCACCCCAGCCAAAAGAGTTCGTACCAGTTAATGACACACAGAAGGAAGAGGAACCAGAAGGAAAGATCGCACTGAAGGAGATACAAGATGATCAAGAGATAGTTGCTGAAATTTTGGCTCATGAGAAAACAGAACCATCTGTAGCATCACCTGCATTACCAGAGCTTGAGATACCTGCAGCTGAACATGATGGACGTCTAAAGAGTGACTCAAAGTTAGTGGAGGAAAATGAGAAGCTAAGGAAGATGATGGAGAAGTTGCTTGAAGCTGGGAATGCGCAGTTAAGTGTAATATCAGATTTAACTGGCAGAGTGAAGGACTTGGAGAAGAGATTAGCCAGGACCAAGGCCAGGAGCAAGAGAGTGAAGACAAAACGGCATAGACCAGCAACTTCCAACTTTCTTGCATAAGTGAAGTTGAAAGCCGTTGATATTGCATGTAATGTCCCTTTTTAATTTCAAGGAGAGGAGTATATGCATACGTTGTAATCGAGAGGTGTGGCATGAGTCATGTTCTATGGTAAACACTGTAACAACTGTACTTGTGTGCTATTAAGATACGAAGTTTAGTTGTTTTTCTTTTGAGCATATAAATTTTGCTTCGAATCGGTAGCTCTGCTAAAACTTGAATAGTTGGATTCTGTAATGTATTTTAGCAGTATCCACAACCTTTCCAAAAGCCACATTTTTTTTTTTTTTTTTTGAGATTGGTGTTTGATCTTTGTTACAACTTACAAATTATTGTTTCATAAGAAGGATATGATGAAATGTCCCACCAAAGCTGTTTTTAATCTTCATATTCTTTAAGTCTCCAACAATTCTGATATTCTAAAACTCTAATTTGAGTCCAAAAACTCAGTTTTTCCAAATTTTAACTGGCTCCATTCTCTCCTAGTTATTTTTATGTCTTCAATTACATGTCCATGCACATCAAGTCCCTTCTATGCTTCTAAGCCTCTCAAACTCACCAGAGATCTCCCTTCTTTCTATAGGTCTCATTCAACAGTAAAATAAAGCCTTGCGAGAAATTTTCTTCTCCTGATTATATAGGTCGCATAAAAATGATGATTTTGACACCAAGTTGTTGATTTTTATTTTAAAAATTATATGTAAGAAATGTGACAGATATATTATATTATGGAGGAATTTCAATAATATTTGATTCATATATTTTATAAAAAGAATAAAATATTAAATATTAAGAATATCTTTTTTCAAAATCATTATAATAATCTAATATAATTTTTTGATTATATTAGTTGAAGTAGGTTTCAAGTATGATTTAGAAAAATTTCCTTCACGTTATAAAAGTAGGTTTTGTTTGGTGGAAGTTAGTTGCATCCCTTTTCTGTTATAGAAAAAAAAATCTAAAATATAATTTTTTTTTTCAGACAAGATCTTACCTCAGTATCCTGCAATAAAAAGATGGCCTAAGAATCCCTCATCTTTCTATGCTTTGAAACATTGGACTTCATGCATGTACTCATTGAACAAAAACGAGAAAAGATATAGAATTAGAAAAGGAAGTAACGCTGAATTAGACCCAGTGATGTAGCAATTAATTGAAATCCATTGAGGTATTGGTAACACTGGACGCACCACCCTCCTCATTGGTCCACGTTCCACCCTGACCTCTCTGAAATTGGTGATGAACTCGCAGAGTACATGAGTGATGAAACATACGGTGTAGATAACGAAACCGAATGATTCCCAAGCTTCGGGTAGCAACAGCACCACCAAGCAAAGCAACGAGAGCGAACCGGACAAGTTGATGAGGGTGTCAAAGCGATGATCCCGTATGGCATACATGAGCCTTCCCAAGGAGGCCAAGCAATAATAAGCAATGAAAGTAGTAATGGCAACCCAAATGGTCTTTTGGATGAAGGTGAAATGGGGTGCGGTTCTCGGGATATCTGATTTGGAGGAAACCCAGAAATACAAAGAAGATGAAAGCAACGAGTGCATCCAAAGGATTAGTCTTTATTGTCATGCTACATATTTGGATAGAAGGTATGTTAAAAGTGACTTGAATACCTCTCATTCTGAAAGCACGATCAACCATTAAGAAGTTTGAATTTGCAATGACTTTGAGGAATGCTAAAAGAAGCGAGAGACTAAAGATTGAGCTAAGTGCATCTATAAGATAAGGTTTGAACGTTTTTATACCAAATTGTCATATTTTTCATTTTTATTTCTTTACTTCCATTCAATGTCACAAAAAGTATATGTGACATCCAATTCATTTAAATTGTTTTGGCTAAGAACAAGTTCGGTGCACAATAAGATATATTTAGGTTTTATGATGAAGTTAAATAATACATAAATAAAAAAAAACTCAGAATTTTAATATTTTAATATTTTAAGATTTTGAAAGTTTTGTGTATTAAAGTTTTCTCTTTCAAAAGTGTCTATAAATAGTTAAATGTTATCCAATGATCACCAAAATTGAGATTGGAGGCAAAAAACGAAACAAGTAATGGAGAAGAACTGTTGTTTAGGGCATCAAAACCGCCTATATATCCAATATGATACAGGATAAAAGAGGGTGATTTAATAGAGAAAGACATTGAGATTTTACTTGCAAATAGTGCCTATCAAACTCAAAGATAAGTTTTAGGGTTAAGTTTTTAATCTTTGTATTTTCATGTGAAATTTGAAATAGTTTCTCTGTTAAAGTTTACATAAAAAATATTCTTATATTTTTTAAATGATTAGAATAAGTCCTTATTTTAAATGACGTTAAACATATGGTGACCTGTTTAACGAGAGATAGTATGACCTATTTATTATTTGACACGTGTAATTATTAAAAAAAAAAACAAAGCTCTTCTTTAAAAAAAATAAAAATTATTCAAAGAGATTATTATCTAAAAAAACAAAATTAAAAAGTAGAAGTTTTTTTTTTCTTCTCACGCAGACAAAACTCTTCGATTCTCGTCACAATCACTTTTCATTCTCTCTTCTTTTCTCATCACATATCAAATATCTTTTCTTTCTTCCCCTTTTTTAAATGACTTTTAAATACGGATTTAAATGACTTTTAAAAACTTGACACTTTTTAATTTTATTTAATTTTATTTTTTTAAATAATTACACGTGTTAAATAATAAATGAGTCATACCATTTTTGTTAGATAGGTCAACATATACTTAACGCCGTTCAAAATAGGAACCTATTTCAATCATTTCAAAAATATAGGGATCATTTTTATGTGAGAAACTATTTTCAATTTCACATGAAAGTATAGAAACTAAAAACATACTTAACCCTAAGTTTTATCACACTATTATATATCTAGCTATGATATATGCTATAGGAAATGTTGAATTTTAAGAGAAATTTGGGAGTAGCATAAATGAGAACTTAGATGCATGTGGGGTCAAACGAAATTATTTGAAAATATTGGAATAGCAGAAATTGAGAAAAAGATGATAAATTCGGTCAAGTTGCTTTGGTTACACAGACAGAATGGTCAAAAGAGGTCTAAAGATGATAAAATATTCTAAAAGCGTAACATGATAGAAAAGAAAGATACCTATTACTAACAAATTTACAAATATATAAAAGATTGGAAAAAATATTAAAGTTTTAAAATGAAAAATGATGATCAAAATAGTAAAATCGAGATTGAAAGGTAAAAATAGAAAAAGTAAAGTCGAGGTCGAATGGTAGAAATCGAGAAGATAAAAAATCAAGCGAAGAGAAGAATGGGAATTGAAAATCGAGAATAAAAATAATTAAATCAGTTCGAAGTGTATAACTTAAGTGAACAATGGATCAAAATGTATAAATTAAAAGTATAATTAAGATTAAAGTTAGTGGTCAAAAGAGTATTGAAGAAATAAAAGATCAATAGTTCATAAAAAAATAAAAAAAAGAGACAACATAATTAAATAAAGAATCACAATTTAATAAGAGATCTAGAAATACGTTGGTGAAGTAAATAATGTTATCAAGTATGGGTCGAAGACTAAGGAAAATTGAGAAAAGAACCAAAGAGATTTTGAGAAGGATTTATCGAGATATAAAGACTTAGAGAAATCGAAGACTTAGAATCGAAGACTTAAAGATGTTGATAAACAAATTATGCAAGTGTCACATCATTGAGAAAAACAATCGCGAGAAAGTTATGCAAACATAAAAGGACGAGGGATCGAGCAAGGGTTGTGCAATCGAGAGATATGCGGAAGTGGTAACTTCACTAGGTAACATAAATGTTACAAGTGCTACATGAAAATGAATAACTCAAGAAAATAGGGACGCAATTATAGGAAAAGTAATCGTTTTATATTATTTTATTTTTATTTTTGTATTTTATTTTATTTTATTTTACTTTTATTAGCGGTTATACAAGGTAAAATATAAAAAGGTGAAATAAGTATAATGAAAGGTGATTGTCAAATTATACGAAAACTTCCATTCTGAAAAACACTACAAATATGGTACAAGTATTTTTAATGAAATTCTTTGCAACTTGAATGACCATCTTTATTGATTTCTTTTACAAATTTCTGTTTTATTCTTGATAATAAGTTAAATTTACTTTTATGTAATTTATCTTCATCGCAAATTTATTTTTTCAACAATTTACTTTCTTCATATATTTCTCCTTTTCACACTTTACTTTTAAAGTTGGAACTTATATTAAAACTAAAAGAATCTACATAATAATTAAAGTGATTCATCACAAAAATGGGTAAAACTTAATTGAACAGTAAATGTACATTTCACCTCTTAAGGTACATTTAATCTAAAGTGAGTGACGAAAACACCTACATTGTGTTTCATTTGTGGTGGTTGACGTTTCTCTTTGATTAAATTCGAGTTTTAGAGCGTTTTTTTTGTATTTGAGGTTAATGTTCTATGTGTCTCATCTTTTATGTTGATTGCTTTTAGGGATCTTAATCAAATTATTGCATGAATGTTTCCACTGAATTGTTATTGAAATTGAACTGTTGCAGTTTGTGATTATTCGTTTATGAGTTTGAGTGGATTTACAGTTTATATACTATATTTTTATGTTTTTATTGTTTATTTGTTTGAATCCTACATTTTTGTGGTTTGTATATTAATTATATAATGGTAATGAGTAAGTAAGAAAGAAAATGATATAGTATGATATGAAGAGAAGATATTACGGTATATAGGGTTTATGATTTCATGATGATGAAAAGAAAATATGGAATTCGATATCGGATTTGGATGTACAACATATAAAAGCAAAGAAAAAAAACAAGAAATAGGGAATAAATCTCACCCAATAATTTTTCCTAAATATGCTCCTAAGCACATGTAATAAACAAAAGTAATAGAAAAGAGAAAAATATTATATTATTATAATATCTATACTCTTGTATTTAAATTTTGAAAATAACATTATGTTTTGTTTCTCAATACAATGTAATAAACATGACTACTATCATGTATTAGATGATAGTCATAGTTTGTGCGGTTATAACTGATTCTTGGACAAAGGTAATTGATTTCAACATTTGTTAAGTTCATTTACCTTTATGCGCATTGCATGTTAATATGAGTCAAATTAATGTTTTAAGTATTTCAAGATTCATCCATCTCCACTATTAGAACGTGATATTCATTTCCACTATCAGAATATGATATTACACAAATTAGAAAGCAATTTCGTTTAACATTTTTAGTACTTAATTTGCAGGTTATTGTTTGTATTGTATCACGTAGTTTAACATTTAGGTAACTTAGTTTTTGTACTAGTTTAGACTTTTTATAGTTTGTATTATATTGTATTGTTGTATTTTTGAATTATTGTCTACTGAAAATTTGGAATCTGGACTGACCGTTAAACAAAACAAACCGAATATTAAAATAAAGGACGTAAATTTACGTCAGACCAAGGACATAATCGGTGTAAATTTACGTCAGACCAAGGACATAATCGACGTAAATTTACGTCAGACCAGGGGATAACTAACGCAAATTTACATCAATGATTATGTTTGACATAAATTTACGTCTCCCATATTAACGTCGAACTTGTGTCTAACGTAAAAATGCTAAAATAACATAGATAAAAATATAATTTTATACTAGTGTTAAGATAAAAAAAATAAAAAAATATGATATTTTTAATCAAAATATTATCTATCTAGGCATGGCAACGAGGCGGGCGGGGCGGGTTTTGCCTCCCGATCCCCGCCCCGAATTTTTAACCATCCTCGTCCCCGCTCCGATCCCGTCGGGATTAAAAATTAAGTCTCCATCCCTATCTCCGCCCCGTCCCCGATCTATATTCTTTTTAAAAAGATAATTACATTTATAATAAATTAATTTTATTATGTATTTTTTATATATAAATAAATATTTATAATTTTATAATTTGTAATTATTATTAATTAAATATACATTTTAATTTATTATATTTATATTAAAATATGTATGTAAAAAAATATTTAATTATTTTTTATTTATATATATATAGAGAGAATATTTATAACATTATTATTATTGTTATTATTATTCAAATATTTGAATACTTACAACATTATTATTATAATACTGTATTCAAACATTTAATTATATATATATAAAAGTTAATTCATTTTTAAGTTGTCATTTAAAAATATGAAATATATAGTTAATAAGAAAATATTTAATAAGTTAAATCTTATTTAATTAGTTTGAAGTAATAAAAGTTTAAATTATCAATCTCTTTTAATCCTTTAAAATACAATTATTTTATTAAAATAAAATTTGATATATGATAAATAAAAATAATAAGATAAAAAATATGACATAATAAAACCTAATACATATAAATTATAAATAAAATAATATTAGTTATTACTAGGATTTATGTAAAATATTTAGAAAAAAATTACTTTGTGTTCATCAAATTGATTGAAAAGATTAAAAAAATAAATAAATTGATGGTAGAAATTAAGGAAATGTAAAAAAACAGAAAGGTAAGAGAGAGAATAATGCAATAA